CTCCTGACCTCGTGATCTGCCTGCCTGGGCCTCCCAAAGTGCTTGAATTACGGGTGTGGGCGACAAAGTCAATTTTATAATAATCTGTTGAATATCTCATGTAATTCATTGAATACTATACAAAATGGAAAACACAATGTCTCACTGCCACTGCCCAGCATTGAGACTATGGTACTGCATATTGCCAGCTCCGGAAAAGATGAAAATTGTAAGTATAGTTTCTACTGAATGGGTATTGCTTTTGCACCATTGTAAAGTCAAAAACTGTAGGTCAACCATTTTAAGTCAGAAATAACCTGTATTCTCATAGAACTATATTCCATCAGAGCAACTGCCTCCTATTATAATTAAACACTAACCATGTGGTGGTAAGCTCATGTTTCTCCCATTAGACATTCGGTTCTAGGAAAGTAGGACTTGTGGCTATCTGTGGTCATCTAGGTACTTACCACAGTGCCTGGAATTCCCAATGATCAATTTCCTGCCTTCACTTTATTCACCTTTCAGCAGCATTTGACACAAACAACGAAGCACTGTTTGTAACATTCGTGACTCAACTTTGGGGGCTCCACACTCTCAGGCTGCCCTCCCTTGTGGCTGTTGCTTCTCAGTTTCCTTCACTTACACACCTGCTCCATCTCCTACTGTATCCTCTAAAGAGTCACACTGAAGTGGCTATGTTGTCTGGGGTATATATCCTGGGGTTCATTGTCATGCACTAGGAAAATTTAGGACACAGACACACATGAGGAGTTTAGGAGCAGAGGTTTAATAGGCAAAGGAGAAGAGAAGGAGAAACAGCTTTCCTTGTAGAGAAAGGGGTCTCCGAGCAGAAAGGACTGGTTGGTGGTGAATGTGCCAGATTTTATAGTCTAGTTTGAGGAGGCAGTGTCTAATTTACATAGAGCCAGAGATTGGTTTGATCAGGTATGATGTTTATATAGTGCAAGGGGAAGTCTGGCCACCGCACTTTAATCTTATTATGCAACTGGGCTCTCCAGTTGATCAGCACCATCTTGTCTGCTCCTTACAGTACATGTGGCTGTCAGAGAAAGGAAGATTGAGCTACCATCTTGAACATATATAGATCTTAGTTCTTGCCGGCATTCACCCATGCAAGCTCCCAGCTTGCTTGTCTATATCTGCAGCTCAACTTCATAGGCTGCTCTTTGTTGGAAAATGATTTGCGGCTGCTTTTCAATAAAAAGAAAAGCCTTGCTGAGGACTTCTGTACCCTATCTGCCTACATGATATCTTCTTAACTCCTATATCAATACATTCTGCTGTTATAGTCTGACTGATGAGATCTTGCCCAAGAAAAGAGCTCAAAGGCTCAAAAAAGTCACATAGAAAAAAATGCCTATTGCTGTAATATTCACAATAATGAGCAAGTTGGAAGTAATTTGTTGGAAGCATCCAACACTAGTGGAATGGTGCAGAAAACTGTGGTGACACCACTTCATGGAATATTATCTGGCTAATAAAAGTAAGAACTACACAATCTGTCTAGGAACATGAAAAATTTTTATAAAAAATTCTTATGATAAAATGTTCAACAAAAAGGATATAAAAATACACTTCAATTATGACAACTTTGTAAAAATGTATATAAATACATCTAGTGAACATGGAAAATAAGTACTGGGTTCAACGGTGGGATTATGAGCATTTTTCCTCTTCTTTTCCAAACATTTATATTTTATAAAAAGGTTGTGTGTGTGTATGCGTGTAGACGGAAAATTATACTATAATTTTTAAAACACAAGAAAAATGAATATAGTTCTAGAAGTGTCATAAAACATAAAACCAGTGAAGGCCATTGTACAATATTTCATGCAAGAAATTCCCCTAAATTGCAATACTTTGAGAGCTGTCACAGCCCCATGATACAAACACCAGGCTCTCCAGAGGCAGCTGACTCTACAGAGTGGAAGATGATCTTGCCACAAAGATTTCCCTTCATAATTTCAGGAGTTGAGCTGTCCTAATCCTGGAAAGCAGGGGACCACATTGGCCTTCACAGACCATCAAAAACTCCAGCCTCCTCTTGAGGTTCTTTCATCTTATTTGCTTCAACAAAACCACTTTAAGCCAGTGAGTTCCAGGAAACAGCAGGACAAACATTAGCCTCTTTTCCCAAAGCAGCCATTTTAACCACAGGCACTACTCAAATTCCACAGTGAAGACCAAACGTAATTGATTTCCAGTAGCTCATGAGGATGAGTGTGCACTGCCAACTTCCTGTAAAACAGAACCTCACATATTCCTCACCAAAAGATGTTGTCTTTCAGCAGCAGCAAGAATTGCATAGACTTTTAGCAACAGTCCTTTATTAGGGGAAACACAACTGGATTACTACATAGTAAATCCTGCATTACAGTTAATAGAATTTCATTCACCTTTCAGCAATATTTGACACAAATGGCCACTCCTTCCTTGAAACAGGTCCCAGCTGTTGAACTCTGGCACCCTTGAACATGATGAAAAGACTACAGCGATCCATTTCAACCAACAAATGTCATTTCAACCAACCAATGTAATTACGTAATAAACTACAGTATAATCTTATGGATGATATAAGGCTAATTTAGGTAGCTTAAACCAAATAGTAATAATATTATTAATAACAATACAGCTTGCATACACTGAGTGAACATCACGTGTCTGGCACTGCATTACATTTATTCTTGCCACAACCTTGGGAATTCCATTATTATCTGTTTAAAGATGGACAAACTGAGGCCTAGTGAGCCTAAATAACTAGGTCTCTCTGACTCTCTTTTGTTTGTTTCCAGAGCCCTCTCCATTCTCTGATACCTTTTTTGTGTGTTGCTTCTCCACCTGTCACTGGATTGAATCAGGAGACTTCAGCATTTTGCCAGTAGTATGCTACCCACATCCTTCAGGTTTTGAAAAGTACTTTCATATTTAGAATGACTTGGGGCACATGTTATAATTTAATCCACCCCTATTTGTTCTATCAATCTCATGATGGTAATAACCATTCCTGAAGGCCTGAGGAATGGGATCTGCCAGAATTGGCCCAGCCCTTCCTGAATCCTTGAGGAAGTAGGGAAATGATTTTCTACAGGCCAATCCTTGGACAGATGCATCAATCTACTTTCTCAGTAACTTTACTTATCAACACAATCTGTTACTGTTGAAAGAAAACCACAAACAAGAGAATCATGTAAATCTTTCCTAAAGCCTGTGAGGTAGTTCTTATTCCCTAATTTTACACATAACAACCTCATGTTCTACAGTCATGCACTAAGTCTTATATACTTGCCACGTAATTCAAGGTTGCCAAACACCTGATGGGCAAGTAGCCACTTCCCTGTTTTGTGCCCCTACTAGGCATCACTAATCGTTCATGGCATTTGTCTTAGGTTAGGTGCCCCAGAAACAGACACTGAGATGAATAACTGAGTTTAAGAAATGGATTTGACTTACCAGGAAGCTGTGGCAAGTGAATGGGGAAGCAAGACAAGGACCAGAAAGAAACCAGTGCTTGGCACATTAGTGAGTAGGTTAACTCCATAGGCAGGTGGGGCTCAGGCCTGCCAAGGACCTGTGCAGAGCACACAGAGCATGCCTCAGAGCACCCCTCCACAAGGGCATGAGGCCTGGAATATTTTCCCACCAACTCCATCCAGTCTTTGACTGTTCCCAGGGGCATTAGGAGCCAGGCACTTTCTGCCTGTTCTATGCACACTAATGAAGAGAGTTCCAGAGGACACTGAAAGTCCCTAAGCAAAGGTGTTTGCAGTTGGAAGTTCCAGAGTCAGCAAATGCTGAACCACTGGGTGCTAAGGAGATGTGGACAGGGCTCTGAGAGGGTTGGTCACACTATTTCCTACTGTCTCCAAAAGTAGTTCTCCACACACCCTCCAAATGGCCACCGCCATTCAGCTGGAACTGGTAAGCAAACTGAAAGCTCCTGACCATTTGAATTCTGACTTTACTAATTTGTAAATGTAGATAATTTATCTTCTGGCTAGATAATAGGTAGATTACAAATGTTGACCATGTATAATATAGCCTGTGATTTCTAACAGAAAAGGGACAGTTTCAACCCTTATAGTTTCTAACAGAGAAAGGGCAGTGTGGTGTAGTAGTTAAGGGCACAGACAGTGACATCGGAACTTGGTGGTTCCCCTCCCAGCTGCTGGCTGTGTAAGACAATTGTCACATGACCTCAGGCAAATTACTTAACTACTTCATGCTTCAGTATTTTCAGTGATAACTTAGGAACAAAATAGCATCCCATAGGTGTTTATAAGAATTAAATGAGTATCTGCCTATCTACTATTTATCTGTCTATCTATCTCTATCACCTAGTAAGCAATATATGTATAATCTGTGATTATCAATATACTACATATAACTCACAAAAATAAGTAGCAGATTAGATTTAAAATGTTAGTAGAGCGAGCCTTTAGTATTCACCTCCCATTCTAAATGGCAACTCTTAAGTCATTGGGTGATCCAGAGACTGGGCTCATGTCACTATACTTGATAATTCAGGCAGGAAAAAGGACAGAGAAATAATTTGTCAACTTTCTAGAGGAATGTAGACCCAATTCCTAGAATCCAGGGGAGAAAGGTGCTCTGTTTTTCAATTTATATCACAATAAAAATGTCCTGAAAGCAGAACTAGGGATCTTGTCCCCGGGTTTCTTAAAATATGAGAGCTGAAAGCACCTCCCTTTCTATTGCTTTCATCTAGTAAGTGGACCCTAGGCTTCTACAATGAGACAGACTTGAACCTCAAGTCTTCAGAGCCTACACTCTGTATCCATTGTCTTAGAATCTAAAATCACTGATGATATAAGGGCATGTATAAGACAAGTTAAGCCACATTATTTAAATTACCCATTTTCTCCTCTGGGAAATAAACCAAGCCAATGGGACATCTGACTTTACAAGGGATGTGGGTTTTCTTTAACCTACTGATTCAGCTTGATTTTAGGCTTGGAAAAGGGATCAGTTGTGAAGGACAAAACATAAATCCCCCTTTTTCTAAATCATAGTCCCTTACAACTGTGCCTGATAGGTCACCAAGCATCATTGGACATACAATTCTTTGTGTGAGGAAATCCCCAGGAATTTATGCATATATTGGACAAGAAATGTTCACATCCTGAGATTAAAATCACTGAGGATGTATTTTCCTGCTCACTTTCTCCCTTTCCCTTCCCCATCAAGATACACCTTGAATGACTTATAACTCAATGCCCAGAGCGAGGCAGACAGTAGCACTTGGAACCCACATGATACAGTCATTTTGTAGCTGTTTCAAAAGTAAATTATGCTTCACTTACATGTGTTTTAGAATTTAAATTAATTTCCCTTTGTAAGGGAGGTATCTGTGACAAAGGAAAACCTATAAAATTTTAGGCTAGCTATATCTGCTAATAAAAAATAATTACGAATCTTTGATGCTTAATTCTAGAGTGCTGGTAAGAGAGGGAGGTGTTAAAGGACTTGGAAGCTGACGTAAGGAGAAATCCAACTGGAAAATTAAGCATATTTTTTAAAGGCAAGCAATATGAAGTCACATCATACTTTTTTTTTTCTTTTTACAGGAAGATGCTCAGAAGTTAGCAGGGATTGTCAGGAAACTAAGGGGCAATGCCAAAAGCCAGTGAAATACTTGTTTGTCTATCCTAAATGTCAACTGCCACTTTGGTGGACAATTCCCACAAGGACGGATGGCTTCAGATTTCAAGGACAGGTGTCACTCTGCTTGAAGCCTTTTTCTGCCTATCAAAGGCTGTAAACGAAGGGAGTTAAAGCTCTTACGAGCCATTCACAGCCAACAAGAGACAGAATGTAGAGGATAATATCTCGTGCTCCTTATCTGTGAGACGATCTGGCAGCTGAAATGCCAGCTTGCAGGAAATATTCTGAAAGAATGGGATACATCCTTCAGGAGACAGTACATTTACAGAGACGTTGTAAGGCACCATTTCCAATAAGGATACACGAGTGCAGGAACCAAGGGATGGAAACAGGAGTGTCTCCACATATCACTCCCAATGTGTTTCCTGTCCCTGAAACCCTAGCCTCTGCAGGATTGCAGGTCTTGGTCCTGTAGGGGACACATTCTACAAAGGGGACACAGCAAAGTCACCATTGAAGTACAAGTTACGGCTGTCACCAGGGCACTTTCCACCCTTTACCCTGGGATTGCAGGTGAAAAGAAGAATTACCATACTGATATGTAATTGTCCTTGACCAGCAGGAGGGTAGAGCTGCTTTTACACAATGGAGACAGGAGGACACATGGGGAACCCAAGCGATATATGTAACCACCTCCTGGCACTGTCTATTAACTGTGAACAGACAGGTGCAACATCCCTAGTGAGAAGGGTATGAAAATCAACTTTTCGTGTTGTTCAGATACAAAGATCTGGATCACACTACCAGATAGGTTACCATGACCCAAGGTAACAGCTCAGGATGAGAGGGATTTAGAATGGACAATGGATGAGGAAGAGGGTACTTACCAATTGTGGCACCAAGGTCAACAGCAGCCAGGGCATCTGTAAATCATCCCACTAACCTCCTTCATCTGTTCCATCAGGAGGAAGAAAGCCCAATGGAGGAGTTGCTCCCTGCACCTGCATGGACAAGTCCAAGGCATAGATTGTGGAGGTCACGTAAGTGTGTCTCAAGGACCTCTTACTATAGAGAGTGCAATCACCAGGCACCTCAGATGTTTCACTTTGAAATCATCATAGCATTTGTGCTGAAGCCATGCTAAACCCATAAGTAGGATGTGAAGGCAGACCCATTCCTGCAGCAAAGGATTTGTTTGTTGCCCAATATTGGCTGAATGACTCCCTACTGGCTTAGAATGCAGAGCAGTCTAAGACACTTTCATCTAATTTTCTCTCCCCTCTCCCTTACTTGGGGTCTGATTTGCATGGCAGGTGGCTCTTCAACCTTCTCCAATTCCCTACTGACCTCCTTTCACACAAATATTTCTCTTAATAAAATCCTCATGACTTTCGTTTAGTCTTGGTGCCTGCTTTTCCCTGGACTGACATAAGGACACTTAATTTTCAGTGGGAATACAAAGGACTTTCATCTCAGTAGACCACTGAGCTTACACAAGCTGTTCTTGACCACATTGAGGAGTTGGGGTTACCTTCGGGAAGAAGTGGCCAAGTATTTCACTTTGCTTTAGAAAGCTGCCCCACTGAGACAGAGAAAGCCTTCCCTGTTTTGGGCAGTGGAGGCAGAGTAGAAAATTTGCCATTTCTCCAATGGACCAGTTAGTGTAAGACATTTTTCTGTTAACACTTATCCAGCTGCAACTGACAAGATTTCACTTTTTCAACAATTAAAAACCTACTAATGTAGTACCAGCACTTGCCCATCCTTCACACGTAATGGCATAGAACTTTATTAGATGGTGATTATCTAAAACCAAATCTGTCTCAGTCACATAAATGCATATAAGCTCAAAAAAATAAAATGGACTCTGTGTCTATGAAGCATGCTCCTCCAAAAAGAAAAAAAAAGAAACTCAACTGAAAAAGAGGTACTTATCTTTGCTATTCTAGAAGGGTTTTAGACTGAAAGTATAAAACATGTCATACAAATAAGGAAATAATGTAACTCTTAGGGCAACAAGTTCATCTGTCTTTTGAAATAGAATCTTCAGTTTTTCTTCAGACATGAGAGGAAAATAACATGAGGCATAGAGAAAAGAAATGAACCTATCAGTAAATAAAGGAAGGGGGCTATTTGTGTGGATTACTTTATAAGTAAAGGAGAAAAGTGGGGTGAAGAATGCAGAAGAGAGTATATTAGTTGAGGGATATCCAATAGGCAAAGTGAACACTGGCTTAGTGCACTAGAAAAGCAGGAGTACCAAAAATAGAAAAAGTTAAGAAAGGCTACGAAGATATTTTATTATTGGCTTACACTTATATTTAGTAAAATTTTGAAAATTTACATTTTATAATTTGTCACTTAGTATTCTTTTCATTTCTATAACACATGGCACACACAGCACACACAACTGTCTTTGTAGTACTTAGAGTTTTTGAGAGATTTCATCTGGCCTGGGTTAGGGTGGCGTGCGTGCGTGTATGTGTGTGTGTCTGAAGAGGGAGAAAGAGAATTTGGGGAGTTGGAGTACTTTATAAGATGAACAAAGTAAACTTATGCTATCTAGTAAGTAACTCAGGATCTCTGAAATGTAGTCTTTCTCAATCAGTACTTCCATCCAGCTTTGTTTTAAAAGAAGTGAACCTTTTCCTAAGAGATGGCTTCTAACTCTGTTTCTTCTAACTTCCATTCTTTTTTCCTATTTTATTTCTGCATCCCATTTTCATGCATGCATAGTCTCATGTATAACATTGTCATCCTCTCTGAATTAAAAGAAAGGCATTAAAAGTGCTATGATTATTTTTCTAAGAATCTCAAAATATTTAACAGCTCATTAGGCTCCATAGTGCCCTGGAGGGAAAAGAAAGTCAATTAGACAGTAGAAGAGGAGAGGAACAGAAGACTAAATTGGGAGATTTCCATTCCAGAATGCAGGAGGCTTGGCAACTTGGAGTTCTTGTTGGACTTATCCTGCTCAAACTTCCCTACTATCTTTGGTTTACAAACCTTTTGTTCAAATCTTCCTTCCATCCACAATTTCTGCCTTTCAGCATTTGCAACCAATTGTCATACACATCAGCCAATTAGTTCCTTACTGTGCAATGGCATTCACGATGACAGTGACTATGAAAGAGACCAGTCCAGCCCCAAATTAATCCAACACTCCAAAAATACTGGGTAGATGTTCCATTTCATTTGGACAGACACTTACTTAGTGCATTCTTCTTTTTTTTTTTAATTTTTTTTTTTTTACTTAGTGTATTCTTAAGGCAAGGTGTTGCATGAGCTGCACAATCACTGTATTTAAGAAGTTTGCAATCTAGTGGTATATGAAACCATTAAAAATGTTTTCTGGACAAGTGTGGTGGCTCACGCCTGTAATCCCAACACTTTGGGAGGCTGAGGCAAGTGGATCATGAGGTCAGGAGTTCAAGACAAGCCTGGCCAAGATAGTGAAACCCAGTGTCTACTAAAAATACCAAAATCAGCGGGGCATGGTGGCAGGCACCTGCAATCCCAGCTACTTGGGAGGCTGAGACAAGGAATTGCTTGAACCCAGGAGGCAGAGGTTGCAGTGAGCTGAGACTGTGCCACTGCACTCCACCCTGGGCGACAGAGTGAGACTCCATCTCAAAAATATAAAAGGTTTTTAAAATGCTGGAAGCAATCAACAGTGTCTTCACTCTCTTTTGTCTTCGTGGTGCAGGCAACATTGAACCTCATTTCCTATTTGAATTGCTCCCAGCCAATTCCCTAGGTCCCTCAATTACAACATTGGGCTTGTCTTCACTCTCTGTAGATGGCTCTATCTTTGAAGCAAACAAACCAGGCAATGGGACAGAGATGGGTGGATCTCTTGGGGAAATAAATCATAAATCATGTTTTACTTGTGTTTTGAACTTGCTTTTTGTGTGTGTGTCAGGAGAAGACATGTCAACTGATATTTATGGAGTTCAGCACCATGCTGGGTATTTCAAGCTCTCACTTCACATTTGCTGTGCACCTACTATGTTCCAGGCTCAGTGGCAGGCCCTGGGGAAGCAGTGATGGAGAGTTTACAGCCCCTCTATTTATGCACACAATAATAATTAACTAATTAAGTATTAGTCAGTTAAGTATTTTCACTCGAGCGTTTAGGAATGTGTAATCCAAGTGTGGACTGTAAAAGCCTAGAGACAAAATCCTAGAGAAAAGCAATAAAGACTATATGAATTGCACACTATAAAGAAAAAAGGCATAATTTTACTCAATGTCCTCTGCAAAAGGTCACTGTAATCACATTTAAATGAAATTACATTCCAGGTATAGCAGCAATGTTATGTAACAATCCTCAGTTAAACTAATAGAAAAAATTCTCAGTCTCAGAAATAGATTAAATGCGTTTCCTTTCAGCTGCCCCAAATCATAGCTTTTATTTGTTGTATTCTGTTCTGCCTTCTTGCATCTTGAAGAGAAGTGCTCCTAAATCAGATCACTTAGCAAACCACTCCAAGTTGGTCAGACCTGGGCCTAGATTTACCAATCACTAGCAAGACGACCTTCAGGAGATCCTGTCATCTCTTTCAGTGTTAGGTCTCCATTTATAAAATTGGGATAATATTACCTAGTTCACAGGCTTAATACGTGCAATAAATGGATAATGTATGTAAAGTGCCTGAATCATAGCAAGTGCTCAATAATTGACACTCATTATGGTCACAGTAGTCATTACTGCTATAATTATTATTGACGCTGAGACTCCCAGCTTTACACAGAGACTAATGTTTTACCTTTCACATTAGATATAAAACTAATGTTTCGCCTTTCATATCAGGGCAGGCATACCATCCAGCCTGTCTCTGAGAATGTCAATTCCTTAGGAAATGGGGCCACCCATGCAGTCTAAGTTTTCTGGTGCCCAAGCTCTTTGAATAACGGTGCTGCATATAAACTCTGAAGAGGAGTTTTGGAGTCTCCCTTCATACAAATGTTATTAATATTTATAGGTTGTCTAAGGTTTTCTATTTTTTTTCTTGATTTGGTAATTAATTTCATTTCAGAAACGGTTTACTTCATATTAATTTTCAAATTTATTGGCATCTTTTTAAATATTAGTATTCTAAAGTATTCTCCTATATTAGAATTATACCTGCCTTTCCATTGTATATTTTGCTTACTTGTCACATTTAGTTTTTCTTGATAAGCCAGGCAAGAGCCACACCACGACGGTCCATGTAGGGTGGGGGAACAGTAGGACTGGCACAAGGTGACAGCGGGTGGGGAGACGAATCTCATTCTCTCCCAAGCAGTAGGCTGTTCTCAGATACGCCACAGCTGACGCCTATCCTGAGTTGTCTTCCTAAGTATTGATTATAACCAGTTGTAAGTTTCAAGGGACCACGGACAGTAGCAGACTCAGAAATCCAACAAGGAGTGTCTACATGAAGCCATGTCAGTTCCTCTCTCTTAATACTTCCCCCAGAATTACCACTTATTTCAAAAATTCAAAAGCTGGAAAGCTTAATGTGCAAATCAAAGGCCAAAGAAATACCCAGAGTTCTGCTTGGTATCCTGATGAATGTGTTAAAAATAAATGTGATTAGAGAGGTGATAGAGTTAAGGAGGGAATTATGCAGCCTGCTCACGTTTTATGGATTCTGACGGAGTTGGGGGTGGGCAGTGACAGTACTCTTCTGAATAGTAATAGTCTGAAAATTGTGAGCCGCTTATGACAAGTGTTTGGGGGTGATGAGACTTAAATCCCTGATCTGGAAAATACTTTAAATGTATTTTACCTTTAAATACAAAAATGTGAAGGAGAACTTGATCCATTTGCACAAATGGAATGTTTTAAAAGTTTTATTTGTATACATGGAGAGACCTGGAGAGAATGAGCCATAAAGTCACCAAAACAATTGGCAACATTAACCATAAAAATTTAATCTTCAATCACTATGCATGAAATCACGGCAAGAAAAAAATTGTATTTCAAGTCAGGAGATAGGCAGGATTATATGTGGAG